CCCTTAACACCTTCTAACACACCATAACACACCCTTAACACCCACTAACACCTTCTAACACACCATAACACACCCTTAACACCCACTAACACCTTCTAACACACCATAACACACCCTTAACACCTTCTAACACACCACAACACACCCTTAACACCCACTAACACCTTCTATCACACCACAACACACCCTTAACACCCACTAACACCTTCTAACACACCATAACACACCCTTAACACCTTCTAACACACCATAACACACCCTTAACACCCACTAACACCCTCTTAACACCAACAGAAGGGCGTGGGGTACGGAGAGATCATGTTCTCTCTCTCCTACCTGCCCACGGCTGAGAGACTGACGGTGGTGGTGGTGAAGGCGAGGAGTCTCCAGTGGTTGGGGGACAAGACTACAGGCGACCCATTCGTCAAGGTGAGGCTCTCTCTCTCTCTCTCTCTCTCTCTCTCTCTCTCTCTCTTAAAAAGTAATTGTGACATCAATATCGTCTAACGATACACCTAACAACCCAACTACTGCTCTAACTACCCAACTACTTCCCAACTACCGCCCTAACTACCCAACTACCGCCCTAACTACCCAACTACCACCCTAACTATCCGACTACCGCCCTAACTACCCAACTACCACCTTAACTACCCAACTACCGCCCTAACTAGCCAACTACCGTCCTAACTACCCAACTATCGCCCTAACTACCCAACTACCGCCTTAACTACCCAACTACCGCCCTAACTAACGTCCTAACTACCTATCTATCGCCGTAACTAGCCAACTACCGCCCGAACTACACAACTACCGCCCTAACTACCCAACTACCGCCTTAACTACCCAACTACCGTCCTAACTACCCAATTACCGCCCTAATTACCCCATTACCGCCATAACTACCAAATTATTGTCCTAACTACCACACTACCGCCCTAACTATCCCATTACCGTCCTAACTACACAACTACCGTCCTAACTACCCAACTACCGCCCTAACTACCAAACTACCGTCCTAATTGCCTAACCACCGCCCTAACTACCCAACTACCGCCCTAACTACACAGCTACCGTCCTAACTACCCAACTACCGTCCTAACTACCTCCCTAACTACCAAACTACCGTCATAACTGCTTAACTACCGTCCTAACTACCAAACTACCCGACAGGTGTACGTGCTTCAGAACGGTAAAAAGGTGATGAAGAAAAAGACGAGTGTGAAGAAGGACAGTCGGTCACCTGTGTTCAACGAGGCGATGATCTTCAGTGTGCCGGCCCCAGCCCTCCATGTATGTATACCCCAGCCCTCCATGTATGTATACCCCAGCCATCCATGTATGTATACCCCAGCCCTCCATGTATGTATACCCCAGCCATCCATGTATGTATACCCTCCATGTATCCCCAACCATGTATGTATACCCCAGCCATCCATGTATGTATTACCCCAGCCATCCATGTATGTATACCCCAGCCCTCCATGTATGTATACCCCCAGCCCTCCATGTATGTGACCATCCATGTCCCCAGCCATCCATGTATGTATACCCCAGCCATCCATGTATGTATACCCAGCCCTCCATGTATGTATACCCCAGCCCTCCATGTATGTATACCCCAGCCCTCCATGTATGTATACCCCAGCCCTCCATGTATGTATACCCCAGCCATCCATATATGTATACCCCAGCCATCCATGTATGTATACCCCAGCCATCCATGTATGTATACCCCAGCCATCCATGTATGTATACCCCAGCCTTCCATGTATGTATACCCCAGCCATCCATGTATGTATACCCCAGCCATCCATGTATATATACCTCAGCCCTCAGCCCTCCATGTATGTGTGTATACAGCAGGTTTCACCCTTCCATGTGTACTACTACATAAATAAACTAATATACATACTACCACACACACTACTACAGTGATGCTCTACAGTGATGCTCTACAATGATGCTCTCCCTCCTTCAGAACATCCAGCTCCGGGTCACCGTGGCGGAGCACAGCAGCGATGGTGGTCAGGCCAGATCAGTGGGTCATGTGATCGTGGGAACACAGGCTACAGGCAAGGCCCTCTCTCATTGGAACCAGATGATGTCAGCGTTGAGGAAGCCGATAGGAATGTGGCACCCACTGAGGCGGTAATACACAAGGGAGATGGGGGTGCCAACAGTGCCATCTTAAACGTATGCAAGGATCAGTAATGTGAGAATTTATTTGACTCACTTAAGTTTCGATACAAAGAGGGAGTCTCTAAGGTTCCTACGTTAACTTCTCATAGCTAGTGATGTGAGAACGTATCTAACTTCTTCACTTAAGCTACGACACAAAGGTGCCTACTTTAAATTTTCCTCCTAACTGGTGATCTGAGAACATATCTAACTGACTTACTTAAGCTACAACACAAAGATGGATTCTCAATGGTTCCTACGTTAAATTTTCCTCCTAACTGGTGTTGTGAGATCGTATCTAACTCACTCACTTAAGCTACAACATAAAAAACTTCACTAAATTACTTAAAATCGCCCTACGAATCATTGAGACATCCGACCCAGTACCTCCATGTAGTCACCTCCAGAATATATTGTAGTAATCCGTCGGTCATGGCTGCTTACGACATATTGTCAGGAGTTTGAGTCATCATTTCTGTGTCGAGGTTATAGGTAAGACTCATTCTCTTCCAGTTAGATTCCTCCTCTCAGCTTCCAGTCAGAACCAACGAGAATTCTGGTTCAAGTTATTCGTCTAGGCTCGAGGAGTCTAGGGTGACCTGCCCGGGAAGGTCATCTGGGTGTGAGGTGTGTTGATGACCTGCCAGGGAAGGTCATCTGGGTGTGAGGTGTGTTGATGATCTGCCAGGGAAGGTCATCTGGGTGTGAGGTGTGTTGATGACCTGCCAGGGAAGGTCATCTGGGTGTGAGGTGTGTTGATGACCTGCCAGGGAAGGTCATCTGGGTGTGAGGTGTGTTGATGACCTGCCAGGGAAGATCATCTGGGTGTGAGGTGTGTTGATGACCTGCCAGGGAAGATCATCTGGGTGTGAGGTGTGTTGATGACCTGCCAGGGAAGGTTATGTCATCAAAGAGACTCAATATGGCCGTCGTCAACACTGAAGACGACTGAAGACCAAGAGGTGGTGAAATAACGATGGTTGTAGAACTAAGTCTCACAACACCTACAGGATAAAAGTGATTATTAGAAACATGTTGTGATGGTGATTAGTAGCGTAAAGATGCGCTTCTATGAGCTCTTCCAATCGGTGATGGTGATGTTCATATTCTATAAAGTGAACAGGAAGAACAATTCAAAAGGTGACTGTGCAGTGATTCCATATATTGAACATGAAAAAAACATTCAAAAGATGACTGTGAACATATCATTGAGGTGAGGAGATAAGGAGGAGGACGATATAATCCAAACATGACTCAAGAACTACACATCCTAACTCAATGGCCACCCTTACCCCTCATACACGTTAAGGTCTCTGGTACACACACACCTCTCAATAGGCACTTACCATACAGCACAAAAATCAAAAAGCACAGGAAGTTATCTCTTAATGAAACAATGTGACTTTATAAACACATAATGAACTACAGATGTTAATAGATGTTGAGGCAATGTCTTAGTGGTTATTGAGAATTAGTTGTCGTTGCGGGATGACTAAAGGAAGTTCTGTGAGGTGAATGTTAACAAAGATGACGTCACGTGTGCGGATTGGTGGCAGTGGGGAGATAGTGACATTGTTGTGATTGGGTGAACACTCGTCATGGTGCTTCCTGACTGAGTGTAAAGATGATGAAGTGATAGTGATGTCGTGATTAGAATGATGATAAGGGTGAGTGGTAGTGGTGATAACCGTGGTGACAATATTTGGTGATAGTGATGCGATGTGATGTTCAAAGGTGGTGACTAATGAATGTATGGAACGGTGTACGGAAGGAATATGTGATGACAGTGATGATAATAATAACAGGCCTTGTAGTGCAGTTACGTGTGATGAACCAAAATACTCGCGTGAGATTTAAAATACGGATGACCACAATGATGATGATAATACTAGAGAAGGTTTAAATTGATGATAATTAGGAAGATTGTCTGTACAGGGCCGTAGATCAAACTCTCACAGATAACTCGATACACCGAGGGGTCCCGCAAGGTCTCTATCCCACACCGTTTGTATACATAACCGAGCTACATAATATATATATACGTATTTATTTATTTATATATATAAACTACTACTGTATAGGATAAGAACTCGTCAGACATAATATATTCAGCACGCACAGTTCCCATAATGCACCGGAATCGTCTGTGTTCATATCAGCTGTGTCTGTCTGTCTGTCTGTTTATACACACACACACACACACACACACACACACACACACACACACACACACACGCAAATGTATCTATTCACTTTGACATTTGTGCCTATGGTTATGTGTGTGTGTGTGTGTGTGTGTGTGTGTGTGTGTGTAAAACAATAGCCGTACATACGCACTTAATTCCATGTATGTGTACATTATATACATATAACGAGAGCAGGTGTGTGGCTCAAACAGGTGTATGGTTCTAACGTCTATCTGGTTCTAACGTCTATCTGGTTCTAACGTCTATCTGGTTCTAACGTCTGTATGGTTCTAACGTCTGTATGGTTCTAAACGTCAGTATGGTTCTAAACGTCAGTATGGTTCTAACGTCCGTATGGTTCCAACGTCTGTATGGTTCCAACGTCTGTATGGTTCTAACGTCCGTATGGTTCCAACGTCTGTATGGTTCTAACGTCAGTACGGTTCTAAACGTCAGTATGGTTCTAAACGTCCGTATGGTTCTAACAGATATATATGTCGCACAAACTAAGGAATCGTATTATTTCTAGGAACCCCCCAGAACTGCTGACAATGAGACGACCACCACCACAAGGTCCTATGACTGCCATGACTAGTTTAAGCAGTGGTAAGAGGGTGGAGGAGGGATCTTATCTTAGGGCAGGGAGAGAATACAGTGGTAAGAGGGTGGAGGAGGGGTCTTATCTTAGGGCAGGGAATGAAGAGTGTGGAAGGTTTTAAGACCCTCCCCCCCTCCCCCCTCCCCTCGTAGTTTAGATGACAGTAGAGTTAATGTGAGAGGTTCTGGGAACTTCCATGGCTACAGATGTTTACAGGAGTCAGGGAAGCAGAGTTTTAGGGTACACAACACCTACACAGTACGTCTACATGTCTGTTTCTCTGTGACAGTCATGGATGTGGGTGCGGAGAGAGAGAGAGAGAGAGAGAGAGAGAGAGAGAGAGAGAGACAGAGAGAGAGCCGCGCCAACCTTCATGTTTGTCAAAGAACGACGTTTAAGTTATGTCAATAGTGACTCTTTGTCCTGATATGAAATAGGTAAAAAGTAAGCAGACAGAAATACACTCACCGTTAAAACTCCTGTATTGCCTTAGCGAGAACACGTGTGAGTTCTCATATACATACATACATACTGAAGCCAAACTCTTCCATAGTGATTGTGATAACCAACATAGTCAAGAGTTCAGGTCTAGTGTGGGGTTCCTTATAGACGTCAGACTCTTTCGTGGATTCTTTTTACCACAGACAGAAGAGCATCGGTGTAAATAAATCAAAATGTATCATAAAGGATCGTGTGTAGCATCAGGTATACCGTGTGTTAGGATCAAAAGCATTAGGTTCTTATATATTATCGTTTTGATACGGAAACATTATTGGAACATGTGAGGAAAAAAGATAGTTATATAACCTAACCTCTTCTAAAATAAATACTAAACAATAATTCTTTGATATTGTTAAAGCTAGAGACGTCATTATATATATATTTTGTGTATGTGTGTATCATTGTCTGTCTCACACTAACAAATAATATTGCTTGGCGTTCAGTATGACAACAGGGTCACTTTTTACTAAACTCTTAATTGTCCCGGTAAAGACTCACTAAGGCTCCTGGGCTAAATATTCCTCATAACTAAAGATTTAACACTTGATCATACTGGTTAGCGAAGATAAAATACTAAAACAGCATTAAAATTAACACTGAGACTCTACCCTAACTAGAAACGTTCACTTAGCGCCAGTTAGGAGAATATTTTATACGTAAATTAACTTTGTCTTCTAACTGATGAACGTATCTAGTTAAGGTAAAGTCTCAGTGTTAATTCTAATGTTATTTGTATGTCTTATCGTTAGTTAACCAATAAGATACAGTGTTACGTGTTTACTTACGACGAAGGATTCATCTTACGAACCTCGGTGACTCGTGATACTAAAATAATGTTCCTTAGTCATTAGTCTTTGGTAGAATTAGATTATTATAACTATTTCCAACTTGGACAATCGACCGCGAGATCCCACCGTCGCTAACACTGAACTTCTTGAGTCACCTGATGATTAGCCCCTCCTAGCATTTCTCATCTGATGGTTAATTAACACTAATCATACCTGGTGGGGGTTAGGTCAGGTCAGGTCAGGTCAGGTCAGGTCAGGTCAGGTCAATCTCAAGGTGACATCAGCTGGTGTGCTTAATCTCCAGGTGATTCAACTTCTAAATAAGAACCTTGTTTTATAAGAAAATTTTTATTACCATTAACTAATTTGTATAAAAAAAATACAAAAAGAAATACATATGAAAAATATTACATAAAATTCTATCAACATCTTTAATAAAAAAAAAACTTGAATATTGTAAGTTTTAAGTTACTAATGGTCCACAGTGTGTGATCATGATAATATATAGTGACGCCATGACATCCCCCCCCACTGTGGCACCATAACACCCCACACACTCCCACTGTGGCACCATAACACCCCACACACCTCCCCCCCACTGTGGCACCATAACACCCCACACACTCCCACTGTGGCACCACCCCACACACCCCCTGTGTGCACCATAACACCCCACACACCCCACTGTGGCACCATAACACCACACACTCCCACTGTGGCACCATAACACCCACACACTCCCTGTGGCACTGTGGCACCATAACACCCACACCTCCCACTGTGGCACCATAACACCCCACACACCCCACACCCACTGTGGCACCATAACACACCACACACCCCCCACTGTGGCACCATAACACCCCACACTGTGACACCATAACACCCCCACACCACACACTGTGGCACACCCCACACACACACCCACTGTGGCACCATAACACCCCACACACCCCACTGTGGCACCATAACACCCACACACCACTGTGGCACCATAACACCCCACACACACCCACACCCCTGTGGCACCATAACACCCCACACACCCCACACTGTGGCACCATAACACCCCACACACTCCCACTGTGGCACCATAACACCCCACACACTCAACTGTGGCACCATAACACCCCACACACCCCACTGTGGCATAACACCCCCACACACCCCCACTGTACACCATAACACCCCACACACCCCCACTGTGGCACCATAACACCCCACACACCCCACTGTGGCACATAACCATAACACCCCACACCCCACTGTGACACCATAACACCCCACACACACCAACTGTGGCACCATAACACCCACACACCCCACTGTGGCACCATAACACCCCACACACCCCACTGTGGCACCATAACACCCACACACCCCACTGCACCATACACACACACACTGTAAACACCCCACACACCCACTGTGGCACCATAACACCCCACACACCCCACACCATGTGTGGCACCATCACACCCCACACACCACCACACCCCACACACCCCACTGTGACACCATAACACCCCACACTCCCACTGTGACACCATAACACCCCCACACACCCCACTCACCACACCCCACACTGTGGCACCACCCCCACACCCCACTGTGACACATAACACCCCACACACTGTACACCATAAACACTCCCACTGTGGCACCATAACACTTCAGGTTGCTGTATAACTTGGCGCTAATTAATACCTCCATCTTAAAAAATCTTCACAATTAAAATATACATAAAAGATGAAACTAGTTTAATTGTCTTCCTAATACATACATACATACATACATACATACATACATACATACATACATACATTCGCCGACTCATAATTAGTTACTACAGCCGAGTCACTCTAACACACTCCAGTATATAACAATAATAATTCTCTTCACTTCATATCTTCAAGTACAGGTAAAACGTGTATTAGAATAGTTCATTTAAGTTTTGTATTGTCATGTAATATTTTTTTTTTTATGGAGAAAATTATTGATTTTAAGTGAGCAAAGTTTAAGTTGTGTAAAGTTAGTTAATATTAACTACGGCTGCTCGTAACAATCTCCTATAGTATGCAAATTAATGATATTTTTATATATTCAAATTAGTATAGAATTTACCCTTACATTGCGTTTTGTTTAGATTACTTAAATAAGGTAACTAACTGTCAAGAAATAAGTTTGTTCCCCTTCCGCTGTCATCCATCTTCTATGATCAATAATTTCTGTTACCTTTATCGTATTCTTTATTTCCGTGTACATATAACTCAATTAATTTAGTTTACGTTAATTATCTCTCTCTTACTTCACATGTACTTAATTATTTAATTCATCAAAAAACATGTAATTATTTTTATTAATGTCTTAAAAGTCATTTGATTTTAATTTTAATTAGAAAAATACGACAAACAATACCTAAATCAGCTTATATCAATATCTGCCTATATTAATAAACCAATAATCTGTTTAATAATTAATAACATCAATAAATGAAGTTAAAAAGATAAACCCCGTACTTCCCTCTTACCTACTCTTTATATAACCAAGAATCTATTTTCTTATACCAATACTCAGCAGAACGTTCATGATATATTACCTGCATTAATTAGATGTTACAGTGATGACTTTACCTGTAGTGAGGAGAGAGTGTGTACAGGTTAATCGAGAATGAATGACCAAATTTGAATGGTTTTTGTATATTAAAATTTGGGTATTATTTTTCCATCAAATTTTATATTATGTGTAGACGCTTATTGGTCTTAGATGTTGATGTGTAGGAAGGTGTTATAAGAACAATAACAACAGCAGTAATACAATATAACAACAACAACAGTAATAAATTAAAACAACAATAGTAATACAATATAACATCAACAACAGTAATAAATTATAACAACAACAACAACATTTTCTCTGTACATATAATTCTTATGGTATAACTTGTTCAGTGTATAATCAGATTTGTAAGTACATTTCTAAGGCATATTATATAACTTCGTCTCTAAGGTTATGTGGGGGGTGGGTGTTGTGTGTGGGAGGTGTTATGTGGGAGGGTGTTATGTGGGGGAGGTGTTATGTGGGGGAGGTGTTGTGTGGCAGGGTGTTGTGTGTGGGGGTGTGTATGTTGTGGGGGTGTGTGTGTGTGTGTGTGTGTTATGTGGTTGGACAGGTGTTATGTGAGGGTGTTGTGTGTGGGGAGGGTGTTATGTGTGTGTGTGTGTGGGAGTGTGTGTGTGTGTGTGTGTGTGGGGGTGTTGTGTGTGGGTGTTGTGTGGGGAGGGTGTTGTGTGGGGGGGTGTGAGGTGTTGTGTGGGGGTGTTGTGTGTGTATGGGAGGGTGTTATGTGTGGGAGGTGTTGTGTGGGGGGTGTTGTGTTGGGGGTGTTGTGTGTGGGGGGCTGTTGTGTGAGGGGTGGAGGTTGTGTGGGGGTGGGTTATAATGTAAGGGGTTTCAGGGTACATAGCTGTAATACCGAAGCAGTTTAGACGATTTTAAATTTAAGAAAACCTAACCTTAACCTAACATAGCCCTAACCTAACCTAACCCTAACCTAACCTAACCCTAACCTAACCTACCCTAACCTAACCTAACCTAACCTAACCTAACCTAACCCTAACCAACCGAATCTTTCTCATCTCTCTTAACTCTGAGACACGAGAATTGGTAACACTAGGAGCCATTGACCTGTCAACCAATCAAAATTCGTGTTGAAATAAGGTTGTCAGGTACAGTCACGACAGCCAATCATAATTAAGCTTCTTATATCTTACCATAATCTACACACCTACATACACACACACAAACACACACACACAAACAAACACCTACACACACACACACACACACACACACACACACACACACACACCTACACACACACCTACACACACACAAACACACTCACACACACCTACACACACACACACACACACACACACACACACAAACACCTACACACACACACAAACACACACACACCTACACGCACACAAACAAACACCTACACGCACACACACACACAAACACACAAACAAACACCTACACGCACACACACACACAAACACACACACAAACACCTACACACACACACACCATTATACATATTTATACATCTGCCTTTTTAATCTTCCACCTTAGCTGTAGTATAGTTTTAATTATATACATATACATTTACTTATACATACATACATACATACATACATACATACATACATACATTACATACATTGAGTTTTAAAACCTTAGTTAAACTTAATAAATACCCGCTACTTTAATAAACAACTGTATTTTATAATTATTTCTCTAAACAAACAATACCAAACAAATAAACACCCCACATACAAACAAACAAACAAACAAACAATACCAAACAAACAAACACCCCACATACAAACAAAACAAACAAACAAACAAACACCGACTTTATTTAAATCATCAAAACAAAAACAAAAGAAAATTCAGAACAAAATAAAATACAAAATTAACTTTATAATGAAGAACTACCACATCAGCTTACCATATACATCTATCTAAATAAATGTATATGTATATGTATAGAGATATAATGATATATATATATATATTAATATGTACAGTGTGGCTTGTACATGTGTGATAATATTATAAAAATACATCTTCTATATCATCAGTTTTACATTCTATCTACTGAATAAATTGAAATGTGAGACAATTGTGTTTTTAATTCCTTTACTATAGGTTAATTTAGGTGGAGGTAGGTGAGGGGGGTGGAGGTAGGTGAGGGAGGTACAGGTAGGTGAGGGAGGTACAGGTAGGTGAGGGAGGTGCAGGCAGGGTGAGGAGGTACAGGTAGGTGGGAGGTGCAGGTAGGTGAGGGAGGCAGGTAGGGTGAGGGAGGTACAGGTAGGTGAGGGAGGTGTAGGTAGGTGAGGGAGGTACAGGCAGGTGAGGGAGGTGTAGGTAGGGTGAGGGAGGTGTGCAGGTAGGTGAGGAGGTACAGGTAGGTGCAGGAGGCCAGGTAGGTGCAGGAGGCCAGGTAGGTGCAGGAGGCCAGGTAGGTGCGGGAGGCCAGGTAGGTGCAGGAGGTACAGGTAGGTGCAGGAGGCCAGGTAGGCAGGTAGGTGAGGGAGGTACAGGTAGGTGAGGGAGGTACAGGTAGGTGCGGGAGGTACAGGTAGGCGGCCAGTCCCCGTGTTAGCAGTCAGCAGGTGTGGCGCCGGTTGCTAGTGTACACCTCAGACAGACAGACAGAGAGATAAATGAATAGACAGGAAGAAAGACGGAGACAGACAGACAAATAAATAGAAAGATAAAGACAGAGAGAAAGATAGATAAAGAGAGACATACAAACCAATAAACAGAGAGGAAGACAGATATAAAGAAAGACTGATAGAGAAACAACTAAACAAAAGAACAGACTGACAGAGAAACGAAAGGACAGACACTCAATTAGAAAGAAAAACGTAAAAAAAAAGAACCAGGTAGAGAGACAGAAATATAGACAGACTGACAGAGAATATATAAAAGGGTAAAGGAGAGAGAGAGAGAGAGAGAGAGAGAGAGAGAGAGAGAGAAAGCAAGACTCATCATGACTGGCTAAAAATGGCTAATGTCCCTAAGTTGCCAAGTAGCCATTTACACCCATCAATATAAATCATCTTTCCACCACACTATTACCTTAGCTATTCGCTATAATCTTAATCATAATAATTTATATATAATTAAAAAACAAACAAATTATATCAGATATATAATTTGATAATAAAAGGATAGTTAATATTTAGAAAGAGTTATAGTAGTGGTGGTGTCTGGCAACTATTGTAACCCCTATATAAGACAGTGTATTGGCAGCTGCTTTCTGTTTAGTACAAGGTCGTTGGGGGGAGTATCGTCCGTTGTCTCTCCCGTCTCCTAAAAACACAGTAAGTTCTTTTGTTCTTATGTAATATGTTCCTGTCGTTTTGTCTGTTCAAGTAGTAATTTTACCTATATGAGTAATTTTACCTGTACGTATCTCACTAGCATGTCATGGGCTCGAGTCCTGCTCGGGATGGGAAGGTGTCATCCAGTGTGACCAAACACCTTCCTCCTGTACAAGGGTAAGAACATAAAGAAAGCAGCTTACCCACGCCAACCGGTGTAGCGTCATGAACGTGATCAAGCAATCAAGCGCGGCTGTACACAATAGAAGCATGTTAAAGCTTGTCGGCGCTGGCTGCCCATGTATTGAAAATACTTCCTTGTGCCCTTTTAGCTCACTAAAACGATGATGAGTCACCGTCATTAGCTTTACTGCGATTGATTTCGTGTATTCCAGTTCTTTTTCTCCTGATTTTTGCGTAAGCACCATCGACCAAAACAAAATCTAAGTCAGACGACGAGCTAGACATCTTTACTATACGACAGCTGGACCACAATTGGCAGATACCAGTATACCTGCGTCCTGTGTCCGCCACCACCAGTCACTGCCGGCGCTGGAAACCGGCAAGTGGGTAACTTGCTTTCTTTGTGTACTGTTCCTGACGCTGGACAGACCAACCACCCGAACGACTAGTAAGATGATAACTGGTGGTATCTTTCATCTCTACCTGTATTTGTGGTATTACCTGTACTTCTGAAGCAGCATTAACAGTACAGAAAGATGTGACAGTAAACCACCTTGAGTACAGATGACTTAGCCCCTAAGTACGATGACTTAACCCCCTGAGTACGATGACTTAGCCCCTGAGAACGATGACTAAACCCCCTGAGAACGATGACTTAACCCCTTGAGTACAGATGACTTAACCCCTTGAGTACAGATGACTTAACCCCAAAGTACGATGACTTAACCCCCTGATTACGATGACTAAACCCCTGGTGCGATGACAACCCCTGAGGCGATGACAGCCCCTGAACGATATTCAAGCTTCCCCTGGTACGATGACAACTATGAGTACGATGACTTAACCCCTTGAGTACAGATGACTTAACCCCTAAGTACGATGACTTAACCCCCTGAGTACGATGACAGCCCCTGAGTACAGATGACTTAACCCCCTGAGTACAGATGACTTAACCTTGTTACTCTCCTTGTTCCCAGAGTCACCATGAGTGTTGACTATTACTACACACCAATATCAGCGCCTTGTCGTGCCTCATTACTCACGGCCAAGGCTGTCGGGGTGGAGTTGAACCTAAAGAGTTGAATCTGTTGGCCGGGGAGCAGATGAAACCGGAGTTCCTCGCCATCAACCCACAACACTGCGTTCCGACGATGGTGGACGGCGACTTAGCCTTGTGGGAAAGGTGGGTGTGTTGTTCTGGTATGACTGGATCGAGAGGTTGGGTGTTAGGTTTGTCGATCTGGTATTAGTTTGTTAGAAGATATATAGATAGATAGATTGATTGATAAGTAGATAGATACGTAGATAGTTTCCCAAAAAATAGCCTCTCTCTCTCCCTCGTTATGTTTTGTACTGTACGTGATTGTAAACATATGTGTGAACTATCTTTCAGTCGCCCCATCTGTACGTACTTGGCGTCCCAGTATGGTAAGGACGACTCCCTCTACCCCAAAGATCCCAAGACCCGCGCCAAGGTCGATCGTCTCCTTTACTTCGACATGGGAACACTGTACCACCGCTTCGGGGAGTATGTGGTGAGTGGATTATTTATTTATTTATTTATTTTTACCTCAAATGATTCATGTGCAGATTAGTCACCCTATAGCTAATCTAACCTCGCTTAACCTGACTTAAACCTAACCTAACCTACCCTATCGCTAAGCTAACCCAGCCAAACTTACCCTAACCTAACCTACCCTGTCGCTAACCTAGCTTAACTTTAACTTCCCTGTCGTTAACCTAACTTAACTTACCCTGTTGCTAACCTAACTTAACTTACCCTGTTGCTAACCTAACTTAACCTACCTAACTTAACTCAACCTATAACTTAACCTTATCTAACCTGGCTTAATGTTACCTAACCGAACGTAATCTATGCTAATCTAATCTAACTTAACATTAACGTATTCTAACCTAACCGAACCTAATAAGAGACATTATTCTTCTCAGTACCCGGTATTATTTGGTGGCCAGCCTCGTGATGAACAAAAGTTGGTGAAAATCGACGAGGCTTTGGGATGGCTGAATGACTGGCTCGCCGGACATGACTGGGCTGTCGGCAATAACCTGACTGTAGCAGACCACTCCCTCGTCGCTACCGTCAGTACCATGGAAGCTACAGGTATCGATCTAGCCAAGCACACAAATATCTCGTCTTGGTTAGGGAGATGCAAGACAAAGATGGCAGGTTATAATGACCTGAATACTCCCGGAGCTGTTAAGTTTGGTGAGATGTTCAAGTCGAAAAATTAACTGGAATTTCAGAACTGTGATTTAACCCCTTGACTGCTCGTAATGACTTAACTCTTTGACTACAATGACTTAACTCCTTGACTACAATGACTTAACTCCTTGACTACAATGACTTAACTCCTTGACTACAATGACTTAACTCCTTGACTACAATGACTTAACTCCTTGACTACAATGACTTAACTCCTTGACTACAATGGCTCAACCCCTTGACTACTGACTCAACTCCTTGACTACTATGACTTAACCCCTTGACTACAATGACTTAACTCCTTGACTACAATGACTCAACCCCTTGACTACAATGACTCAACCCCTTGACTACAATGACTCAACCCCTTGACTACAATGACTTAACTCCTGACTACAATGACTTAACTCCTTGACTACAATGACTTAACTCCTTGACTACAATGACTTAACTCCTTGACTACAATGACTTAACAATGACTATCCTTGACTACAATGACTTAACCTTGACTACAATGACTTAACCCCTTGACTACAATGACTTAACCCCTTGACTACAATGACTTAACTCCTTGACTACAATGACTTAACTCCTTGACTACAATGACTTAACCCCTTGACTACAATGACTTAACTCCTTGACTACAATGACTTAACTCCTTGACTACAATGACTTAACCCCTTGACTACAATGACTTAACTCCTTGACTACAATGACTTCTTCCGTACGACGACTTGACAATTTTTGCTGTTTTTTTTTTTTTTTACTTTTTATTAAATTTATAAAATTTATTTGTGTCTTGATAATAAATTGTTCATTTTGGTTTTTGTTGTTTTAATTGAAGCTTTGTATTTAATTTATGTAAACTATAAAGAAGACAATTTTATATAGAAAGAATTAATGTATTTCTTATATATGAGTTAGGAATATTCTTAATGAGCTCAATTAAGTTTATAGAAACAGTATACACAGGCATCATAGAACACAAACTCCTAGACATACACGAATACAAACATACAAACACAGTGTACACAACAAACACACACACATGCCGTCTTCAACACATACACAGTACCCTCAAACATACATACAAGTACAACACACACACACGCATACACAATTATTTGCCTTGTCATTCCGTAGACTCACAATAAACATGACTACAGCAGGTGTATATTAACAAAGTCAGTTGTTTAAGATAGTGTATATTCTAGATGTAACATGACATACAAAGTTACACCAAAGTTTATAAGAGTTTACAAAAATTACGCAAAGTTTACTCCAGGTTTACATCAATGTTTCCACAAAGTTTACATCAAAGTTTACATCAAAGTTTACCTATAGATCACATTAAAAGTCTCCACAAAGTTTACCTATAGATCACATTAAAAGTCTCCACAAAGTTTACCTATAGATCACATTAAAAGTCTCCACAAAGTTTACAAGTTACATTTAGACCTGAAAAACTTGCCCCATTCCACACAACCTTCAATATTTATCTCAGCATACCCTGGCATCTTGTCCTTACACCTACCCAACCAACTCACAACATTGCTATGCTTCGTCAGGTCGATATCTGCAGCTTTAATCGTCTCCACAGTAGCAGCCAGGGAATGATCTGCTACGGTAATGTTGTCCTCTACTACCCAGGCGTGTCCAGCCAGCCAGCCATCCAACCAGCCTAGTGCTTCGTGTACTTTCTCCAGTTTGTCGGGTTTGAAGGTTGTCTCGCCCCGGAACATAACTGGGAACTGTGTGGGGGGTAAGTAAATTAGTCTGGTTTGAGAGGATGTGTCAAGGTTTAGATGTTTGATGGGTGTTTTAGATGGTAGTGGGAGTTAGTGGAGATGGAGTAGTAGGTGTAGGAGGAGGAGTAGGTGGTGTTGGTAAGAGTAGGGGGAGTAGTAGCAACTTTATAAGACTCCAATATCACAATGTCACCCACTAATGTCAACACAAGCGAAGAAGGTTATAGTACACACACACACACACACATGCTCACCACATACTCCCCGAAGCGGTGACACAGTGTTCCCATGTCGAAGTAAAGGAGACGATCGACCTTGGCGCGGGCCTTGGGATCTTTGGGGTAGAGGGAGTCGTCCTTACCATACTGGGACGCCAAGTACGTACAGATGGGGCGACTGAAAGATAGAAATTTAAGTAAAAAAATATTGAATTCACGTAAAGATTAGACATCCTAGCTTATTTCACCTGATGATTTACCACCTTTACACGACCTGGGATTAAGTCAGGAGAGGGTTAGGTGAGATCAAGTTAAGGTGAACCAAAAATATCGATTATATAAGATTAATTTTTCCTTTACTATCGATCTCTATGACATAACATGGCGTAGGATAAACAACAACAACAATATGTATGGATAAATAAAAAAATAAAAAAAATAAATAAATAAAAAATAAAAATAATAAATAAAATAAATAAATATTGAAGTGATAACCGTGGTAACATTATGAGATGTACTTATTACTTCTATGCTATTGTACTATTCCAGATGATACATAATGTTACATAATACAGTACTTCCTTGAGATAAATGTATAGTATATATCAGGTGCCTCAAAGAGAGCTTAGGTTCTCAACTGGCTCAGCCATGTTAATATTGTTATTATCCACTCTGTATCTGTATTTTTCTGGCTAAATAAACTGTTACAATTCAATTCAATTCAATTCAATTCTAGATAGAACTAAATATACTGTAGAAAATGAGAGCTTGGTGACTGGTGCTGGTGGTGGTCATGGAAATTCTCACTGAACACAAAAACATGACCCCTCCTCACGCCTCCCATAAGGTCAGGTCAGGTCAGGGGACTGCCCACCAGGGTATAGGGTAGGAACACACTCACCTCTCCCACAAGGTCAGGTCACCGTCCACTAGGGTAGGGACACAGTGCTGTGGGTTAAGTGCCAGAAACTCCGGCTTCATCTGTTCCCCTGAGAAGATATCAAGTTTCTTCAGGTTCACCTCGAGGTTGACAGCCTTGGCCGTGAGCATACTGGCGCGACACGGGAAGGACATGAGCAGGTAGTACAGGTCAACGGGCATGATGACTGGTGGAGGAGAGAAAACAATTATGTCTTGGTGACTCGGGTATACAAATTGTACCGAAACAGTGCAGGTATATAAACCGTGTTACTTAGTGCAGGTATATAAAATGTGTGCAGGTATATAAACAAAGGTAAACAACAAGGCAATTCGACCAAAGAACAATCACGCTACTTAATCAACAGGTAACAGGTGAGATACTGTACGTAGCACTGGAGGGAAATACTTAAGGAACATAAAACTTAGGGAATGGGTTACCTGAAGATTAGCCCCCACCTTATTTCACCTGATTAGGTTAGATTACGTTAGCTTAGTGTAAGGTTAAGTTTGTTATTAGTGTTAGAGTTAGCTTTAAGGTAATTAATCTTCAGGTGATCCCAGCAAGCATCAGGTCAGACATACACACACACACAGGCACGTCTGGTCAGGGTAGGCCTCCCACATCCATAGGCCTACTAGAATTTCCACCCTCCCCAGCAACACACTGAGCCCGGTTCATATTAAAGGGGTTCCAATGGGTTTCTTACATTCCTTAATCGCAGCCGGCATTTTATCCGCCGCTCTCATTGGCTGGTTTGGGTGTCCTCACAACCAATCATATTTCAGATTATTTGTTGCTGATCTATCCGTTAATTTCATTGGCTGAACACTCGCAGTACCTCTATATTTAGCCAATGAAAACATCAAATATTCAGAAGACACTTTGTAAATACTCGACCAGCCGAATGTTAAACAACTCGTTGGAAAGAATCAAGAGGAGAATGACAAGACTAATCCCGGGCATTAGGAACCTTGAGTACAGAGACAGGTTAAAGCATCTTAATTTGCACTCCCTCGAGAGACGTAGAGCGAGGGGCGACCTGATAGAGGTGTATAAATGGATGTCAGGGTTAAACAAAGGTGGCATTACAAAGGTACTCAAACTATCCAACTTGTTCCATTCATCCACTACTCTGTTTCCAAACCAGTGTTTACCTATTTCACGCCTAAATCTAAATTTGTTTAATTTAAAATCATTGTTACGAGTTCGCTCTTGGTTGGATAGTTTGAGTACCTTTGTAATGTCCCCTTTGTTTAGCCCTACTTTCCCTAAAATATCTTTCCAAGGATTCTATATCCATTCTGTAATACGGTGACCAGAACTGAACTGCGTAATCCAGGTGTGGTCTCACAAGAGCAAGATACAGTTTTAGGATGACCTCGCTAGTCTTGTAACTAACACTCCTTTGTTCTTATGTTCTGCCGTGATAATAATTAAATACTGTACACTCAACCTACACTTGAGACTCTACCTTAACTAGACGCGTTCTCTTAACACCAGTCAGGAGATAAAATAACTTTCAGAATCACAAAGAATAAATATTAGAAGCCTTGGTTGTACTTACAGGAGGTGGAGGGGGTGCTTGCGGTGTAGACTGAGATAAGATGCAAGCGACTGACGCACTGAGAGATAGAGGGAGGGAGACAGCTCAGGCGGCCGAACATGTGTGTGGTGCTTGTGTACAGATGCCAGCCGATGAACAAAAAAACTAGACTAATCCTTCTCTTCCTTTCCTTATTTGGTCTTTAACTACCCTCCTACGTCACTTAGTCATTATAAAACAGTCAGTTAGCTATAGATAAACATCGTGGCATATAATGAAGTGGTTAGTTATATAGGGATTCGTATATAATAGTGGCAACAGCAGTGTAGTCTAGTCATGCCAGCTCAGCCTCTCCCGGCCTGCACCTGGACGGATGTTATCCGACTCATCTGAGGAATTTGTAATTGTGTTTTGGGAAAATTTTATAAGATATTTAGGAAAGAATTATTACGTCACCTGAATAGAGCAACCGCTGGGGGGGGGGGATTAATCACCCGTCTGACGCCAAAAGGTTTGACGGTATTTTTTAAATGTATGTTATGTATATTATATGAGTAAGTCAAAATACCATTTCTTACTTGATACAGCCTGACCAAAAACCTGTGACAAAGTGTTAAAAACTGTACCGCGTGGTGGTGACTTTTTACACACACGGAAATAACATCGCCATAGTTGCAATTTGACTTTATTAGTTTGTGCAGCTGTGATGAAATTTTATAAGTAACATGAATATACATTATAAAAATCATAGAAACATATATATATTACATATAAAAACATAAAAACCATAGGAGCACAGATATCAAATATAAAAAAAAATTCTGATATAGTGTACAAGTAGAAAAAATTAATAATATCCCTGATAAACTGTAGACAAACTGTGTATTTGATTAATTTTTTTTAATTAAATGCCAATGGCAAAACATGTTTATATCATACCGTACCTGCACTTTAAGGTACACTGTCATGATTCTTATGCAAATAATAATCAATCTCAATCTTCTTATGAAACAATCATATAGTTCCTATTTATCAACCTCATACCCCAGAACTAAATAAACAAATAAAGTAATTCTCTTGTAATTTAAATAGAATATCGTCCACAGCATTATATACTTACAAAATGAATTGAGCCTTTGTGTTTACGCATCAGTCAGTCATAATTTGACTCACCTGATGATACTCGCGTGGATCGGTGGTAGAAGCGGTACAGTTATTTCCTCACAGGTGAGATGTCACGGGTTCGATTCCCGGGCCGGTGAAAGTTGTTTGGACTTCCTAGCCCCCATTAGTCCTTGTTCACCGAGCAGTAAAGTAGGTACCTGTTGTAAGTCGAAAGTTGCGAATTCGTATTCAGGGAAAGTTGTTGGAGCTTCCAATAACTTGACATAAACCATTGACTCTTCAGGCTTCTACGCCCTTAACTCATGAGACATAAAGTGTAAGCATGAACTTAGCATGCTTCCCTGTTGGGTGCTGTAAACGCTTCTGCGCTTCACCTTACACTAGGATGTAGGGGAGTGCCCAATAAATAAAAAAAAAACCTGATGATTCATATGTTAATTCATCTTCACTAACATCTGTAGATAACATGGTTGTGTTATCCATTGCTACACATATTTCCTGTGGAATCTAATGATCTTCAAGCCATTTTATTGTGTACCGTCCATGTTTGAATTCCCAGCCGCTGTCCTTTGCTTGCCACTGTACTGGAGTTGCTGTGATTGTCTGTCTTCTTCCATAATGATGCTACATAGTTTGTTTGCTTAATTTTTTCAGCCCAAACTCATCTGCATGGAAAAAAAAGGCTCGGATCACTATAGTTAATGTTTTAAAGTGGGTGTCGAAGAGAAGCAGGTACATTATTTTGCCTGAACAAAGCAAATCTTTCATCATTCTCACTTTTAAACTTTCCTCCCCCATAGAGAGAGCACACACATGATACATCTGGAGGTACTTCTGGATACCAAGGTCCATCCAAACTGTGGTAGTCCCAGTCCCCTCTGCAACATGGGAAAGAAGGATCACTAGTATATCTTTGTCATTTGCTTTAACACTAACCTGGGCATCTGTCGTGGTTTCCTTGATATGATTCACATGCAAAACAACTCGTGTGTCTGCTTCCTTATGCTGACAGCCAAGTTCAGGTACAATCTGCCGAAGCACTGGTCCTCTTTTTACTTCAAATTTATAACACGCTTCTTCTAGTGCTAGATAGATTTCATGACCGCCTAAGATTTCTGTGTAGGTGTCTCTTTTCCCTTCACCTGCAAGGAATTTGAAGAGTGATGTATTGAATAGGCCGGATGACAGTGTTTGACTGAAGTTTTTTGGTCGTTTCTGTTCAGGACCAGCAGTAATAATGTTGATCTCAGTTGCACCACGCATGTGTCGTTCGTTGTCTTTGATTGATAGGCTACAGCCACCCCGCCATAGGTAGCAGGGAGATCTGACATAGATCTGATGAGAAGCATTGCATTTGTAACACAAGCATCGACTGAGGAAGGTGGCTGACTTTTTACTTTCAAGTTTCTTTAGGAGTGCAGACATTCCTGTTTTACGAATTAATCCATTAAGACGTGCCAGAGATGCAGGTACAGGGGTGATAGGGTAACTCAAAACTTTAGAAAGATCAATATAAATTTTTGTGGCTAGGTATAAATAGCCCTCCAAATAGGTTGTATCTCTTGGAGCTCATATCTACCCCAGTTAACTTGACATTTACTCCCTCTGTTGCAAATTGCTTCACTCTACGTCGTCGTATTGGCTCTCCAAATCCACTAGCATCATTAAAACTGTTACGAACTCACCACACCACTTCTGGCTAATATCAATAAACTGTGTCACTTTTCCCTTCACTTTTTCTGAAACTGTACAGCCAGTTGAAATGCAATACAGAAGTTCATTTCTCTTCTCAGGACATTCTCGATCATATCTGCTGCAAAATACACATTGTTTATTAGTTTTCATAGTGATATCTTATATAAATAAAGTAAAGCATTAAATGACATAACCTCATTATTCAATTATAGTACTGACCACTAAATTATATTTCAATATTAATTAAATAGAATTATAAAAATACAGGGAAATTCTTAATCTCGACAGCAACCAAGACAGCAGAGTCCACCCTAAAAACGTTTGATAGAAAACCTATAACAAAGTTATTATTTTATGGGTAACTTTATAATTTTAGACTTTCAATTAAAATTTTGAAAACTCACTTAATATTTTGCACATTTTTACAGTTATATTATTCTGGATTTAAGGAAACTATATTTGTATAGTTAGCTGATATATATATATATATATATATATATATATATATATATATATATATATATATATATATATATATATATATATATATATATATATATATATATATATATATATATATACGGAGGTTAATATCATAATTAGTGATATATTGACCGGGTTGCCATTTTTGTCTCAATGTATTTTATTTAGAAAGAATGTATTTATGTGTTATTTTCCATCCCAGCTTATTTTTTTCTGTAGATTAATTACCCCCAATACTATTTTGGTGGGATTAGGTTAGGTTAGTTTAGGTTAAGTTAATTTAGGATAGGTTAAGTTAGCGTTTAGGGTGGATTAGATTGATAAAGTTAGGTTAGGATAGGTTAGGTTAAGTTTGGATAGGATAGGTTAGCGTTAGGTTGATGTAGCGATAGGCTAGGTTAGGGTGGTGAATCTTTAAGTAAAATAAGGTTACGCACTTAAATATCTTAGTTGTTGAAGCGCCAGTAATAACATCGTAATGCCTACGAAACTAAAAACAACCTAACTTAACACACAGATACACACACACACACACACACACACACAAACAACTCGGCAGTTGAGTCTCAGCCAAGCTAACCTTCACACAGTGAGGTCCCAGGTACCCAGTGATAATTCCCCTGAGACTCCACGATAGGGAGGCCTGGGACCACACCTCACCCACTTAAGAACATAAGAAAATATGAAGTCTGCAATAGACCGGTTGGCCTGTGCATAGCAACTCCTGTCGAGAGTTACTACCACTCTCTATCATCCATGAATCTATCCAGCCTCCTTTTGAAACTTTCCAGCGTTCCAGCACTTACTACAAAGTTGCTAAGCTTGTTCCACTCGTCCACCACCCTATTTGTAAACCAGTTCCTTCCTATCTCCCTCCTAAACCTAAACTTATCCAACTTGAATCCGTTGCTCCGAGTCCTATCCTGCTCGGATATTATAAGAACTTTATCTATATCACTTTTATTGATTCCTTTCACCCACTTGAATACTTCTATCATATCTCCCCGCACTCTTCGTCTTTCTAGGGAATGCAAGTTTAGTTTCTTTAACCTATCCTGATATGGAAGGTTTCTAAGTCCCGGAATCATTTTCGTCATTCTTTGCTGCACTGACTCTAGTGAATTGATATCCATTCTATAATAAGGGCACCAGAACTGAACCGCATAATCGAGGTGCGGCCTGACTAGCGCAAGATATAGTTGCAATAAGACCTCTGCCCTCTTATTACTTACACTTCTAGATATAAAACCCAATACTCTGTTTGCCTTTTTTCGAACATTAACGCACTGGTTTCTAGGCCGTAGGTCCGGGCTTACAAGTACCCTAGGTCTCTTTCTCAATCGACTTCTCTGGGTTGATGTTGTTAAGGCTGTATACATTGACAGTATTTGTTCTTCCAATATTAAGTACGCTGCACTTGCTGGTGTTGAATTTCATTTGCCATTTTTCAGACCACCCCTGCAGTTAATTTAGATCCTCCTGTAATGCATTTGCATCGTGCCCTGAATTAATCTGCCGCCCTATTTTGGTGTCATCCGCAAACTTGCTTATGGTTTTAAATTGGACAAATTTAGAATTAGGCGGGAAATAGGTAAACACTGGTTTGGAAACAGAGTAGTGGATGAATGGAACAAGTTACCAAATATCATCATTAACTCGAATATGTGAATAGCTTCAAACATAGGTTGGATGCTTATATGAGCAATAGGGTTTGGGTGTAAACGAGACTGCCCAGTATGGGCCAATAGGCCCGCTGCAGTTTCCTCCATTCTTATGTTCTTATGTTCTTATGTCACTGCTGATCCCAGTATCTAGATCGTTTATGTAGATTATGAACAAGAGTGGGCCTAGTACTGACCCTAAGGGAACCCCACTGGTTACACGACCCCACTCAGATTTAACACCATCTACGCTGACCCTCTGCGTTCTATCGGTGAGCCATGATTTTATCCAATTTAAAACTTTCCCTCGATACCATGAGCCTTAATTTTTCTCAGAAGCCTCTGATGCGGTACTCTGTCATATTTTGCTAAAGTCTAAGTAAATAACATCGTAATTTTCGTCATTATCTACTACCTCGAAGACTTTCCTAAAAATGTCAGCAGATTTGTTGACAAGATTTTCCTTTGTAAACCCATGTTGAGAGTCGTAGTGAGTGACAACAGACCTCGTGGTGTCCCCATGATGCACGACACCACGTGGTGAATGAGTTGCTACAGCACCATGTAGTTCCTCATAACACCATCTGTGAGGGAATTACTACACCATGTGATGCCCCTCATAACACCATCTGTGAGGGAATTACTACACCATGATGCCTCATAACACCATCTGTGAGGGAATTACTACACCATGTGATGCCCCTCATAACACCATCTGTGAGGAATTACTACACCATGTGATGCCCCTCATAACACCATCTGTGAGGGAATTACTACACCATGTGATGCCCCTCATAACACCATCTGTGGGGAATTACTACACCATGTGATGCCCTCACACCATCTGTGAGGGAATTACTACACCATGATGCCCCTCATAACACCATCTGTGAGGGAATTACTACACCATGTGATGCCCTCATAACACCATCTGTGAGGGAATTACTACACCATGTGATGCCCCTCATAACACCATCTGTGAGGGAATTACTACACCATGTGATGCCCCTCATAACACCATCTGTGAGGGAATTACTACACCATGTGATGCCCCTCATAACACCATCTGTGAGGGAATTACTACACCATGTGATGCCCTCATAACACCATCTGTGAGGGAATTACTACACCATGTGATGCCCCTCATAACACCATCTGTGAGGGAATTACTACACCATGTGATGCCCCCATAACACCATCTGTGAGGGAATTACTACACCATGTGATGCCCCTCATAACACCATCTGTGAGGGAATTACTACACCATGATGCCCCTCATAACACCATCTGTGAGGGAATTACTACACCATGTGATGCCCCTCATAACACCATCTGTGAGGGAATTACTACACCATGTGATGCCCTCATAACACCATCTGTGAGGGAATTACTACACCATGTGATGCCCCTCATAACACCATCTGTGAGGGAATTACTACACCATGATGCCCTCATAACACCATCTGTGAGGGAATTACTACACCATGTGATGCCTCATAACACCATCTGTGAGGGAATTACTACACCATGTGATGCCCCTCATAACACCATCTGTGAGGAATTACTACACCATGTGATGCCCTCATAACACCATCTGTGAGAATACACACCATGTGATGCCCCTATAACACCATCTGTGAGGGAATTACTACACCATGTGATGCCCCTCATAACACCATCTGTGAGGGAATTACTACACCATGTGATGCCTCATAACACCATCTGTGAGGAATTACTACACCATGATGCCCTCATAACACCATCTGTGAGGGAATTACTACACCATGATGCCCTCATAACACCATCTGTGAGGGAATTACTACACCATGTGATGCCCTCATAACACCATCTGTGAGGGAATTACTACACCATGTGATGCCCCTCATAACACCATCTGTGAGGGAATTACTACACCATGTGATGCCCTCATAACACCATCTGGAGGGAATTACTACACCATGTGATGCCCTCATAACACCATCTGTGAGGAATTACTACACCATGTGATGCCCCTCATAACACCATCTGTGAGGGAATTACTACACCATGTGATGCCCTCATAACACCATCTGTGAGGGAATTACTACACCATGTGATGCCTCATAACACCATCTGTGAGGGAATTACTACACCATGTGATGCCCCTCATAACACCATCTGTGAGGGAATTACTACACCATGTGATGCCCTCATAACACCATTCTGAGGGAATTACTACACCATGTGATGCCCTCATAACACCATCTGTGAGGGAATTACTACACACATGATGCCCTCATAACACCATCTGTGAGGAATTACTACACCACATCAGGCCCCTCATACACCATCAGACTACACCACATCAGGCCCCCTACACACCATCTGTGAGGGAATTACTACACCACATCAGGCCCCTCATACACCATCTGTGAGGGAATACTACACCACATCAGGCCCCTCATACACCATCTGTGAGGGAATTACTACACCACATCAGACCCCTCATACACCATCTGTGAGGGAATTACTACACCACATCAGGCCCCTCATACACCATCTGTGAGGGAATTACTACACCACATCAGACCCCTCATACACCATCTGTGAGGGAATTACTACACCACATCAGGCCCCTCATACACCATCTGTGAGGGAATTACTACGCCACATCAGGCCCCTCATACACCATCTGTGAGGGAATTACTACACCACGTCAGGCCCCTCATAACACCACCTGTGAGGGAGTTACTACACTACGTGTCTGCTGTTCAACACCTCAGCTCACATGATCTACGTGTGTAAACATTAATCTGTATGTTCACTGTATGTTCCTTCACCTTTCTCTGATGAAGGCTTTTGTTAAACCACCAATGTATGTAATAAGTCATTTATGTCCAATGTATATTTTCAGCCTTCGGGCTGCAAACTTTTCAGTAAACCGTTTATTATTATTATTACACACACACATACACACACACACACATACACACACATACACACACACACACACACACACATACACAAACATACACACACACACACATACACACACAGATGAGATATGTACTGTACCTTCAGGTGACCTTCAGGTGTGCACTGAAATATTCACACCTGCGTAAGGATTTATTGACTTCTTCACCCAGTTAACATACTCTGTGTGTGTGTGTGTGTGTGTTCTTATGTTCTAACATGTAAAATATACTACATATTTCCTATTCTTTCTTAGGATACAACAATTTATGTTTTACTTGTAATTTTTAAGGCGAAATCTATTAAATAATTGAGCGAATTGTGGCCAAAATGTCCAAATGTTGTCATTGAGACATTATTCCTCCCAGGATGATTAACGTTGCTAATACACACACGTCATTATCTAATGACATAACTTCATTTAAACATAGCCCAATTGAAATACGTGAATAAATTAAAGGAACATTATTTTGGTATAATTAAATTTAAAATGTATTTAATTTCGTTTTTATAAGCTAATTCAATTCGATAAGTTAATTGAATGTTCTAGTTTATCCTGGAGAGAAATTGAGAATGGAGTGAGTGGAAGATATTGGAACTTGGCTGTGATTGGCTGGCTGCTTGGAGTTGGCGTTCAGTCACCCGCCGGGCAAGACAGTGAAAGGTTACGTTCTCATTCTCTCTCTTTAATCTCCATACCCTTCATATATGTAAGTTTATTAACATTATATTCTTCCTGATTAACATTTACTTCATATTTATCTATCTATGTATACAATTACCAATCCATTTACCCAATTATACATCTTATGAATCGACTTATCCATCCATCTATCCAATTATCCATCCACCTATCAAATAATCCATCCACATCAAATTATCCACATACCTATCTAATTTTCAATCCATCTACTATACAATTATCCATTGTTATATCCACTTTACCATCTCTCCAATTATCCATCTATATCAATTATCCACCCATCTATCCACATATCCATCCAGCTAGATATGATAAATGGGTAGATCATAAATGGTTCGACCCCTACCAGCCCACTCCCCCTTCCAACCCACTCCCCCCGCCAGCCCTCTCCCCCCAGCCAGCCTGCTCCCCTGCCAGCCCACTCTACCAGCCTCACAGCTTCTGCCAGCCCCTCCACGCCGCTAGTTGGAACCATCAGTCATTGAACACTCCAAAGTTTGTTGTGTGTACTCAGACATACAGTTGGCCCCAGTTAGCGTTGCCAATTCTCTCTCCCTGAGGTGTGAACCCCGAACTCTGAAGTGTGAATTAGCAATTTACTAGTGAGCGGGAGGAGAGTGAAGGGGGGTGTATGGGTAGGTGTGTGAAGGAGGCGGGGTACTAGGGGTGAAGAGGGAACGTGTATATCAGTTAGGTTAGGTGGGGGGGGGAATCACAAGGCAGGGAAACGCTTTGACAATACCTACAGGGTTTCCTCAGCCGAGTGTAATCGTCTAGCGCTCGCCAGATGAAAATACTAAAGTTACAATAGGATGAGATGGGGGTGAATTCAGGTTCTAAGTAAGGTGTTCCTTTGTGAAACGTGACATTTACGAGCAAATGGATTTTGAAGGTTTGAATCTATATCTTATAGAAGCAACCAAGCTTTATGTAACTCCTTGGCTGCGAGATGATGCTTCCTCAGCTGAAAGAAAACGTCTGCCAGAATACTGATGGGATTAATTAGTAATCAAAACAATCAGGAAGTGGGTAACACTTTTATTGTAATACAAACTGGACGTGAACAAAAATAGTTCAGTCGGCAGCTGTCAGGTGTAGAATCCGCAAACCACATAGTTCACCTGTGTTAAACATTGTGTTAGAAGGTCTCGCTAGGGTAGAGAAGCCCTATTAAATAAGTCTTGGGGCTTCACGGTGTCAATAGTCTAAATAGATGGATCGAGAGATAGATCAATAGAAAGATGGATGGATCGATAGATAGTTTAAATAAATGGTTGCTAGGTGACCGGATAGATGGATACAAAAACGCCATTGTGGAAGTAATGACGATGGGGGCGCCACGGGTGACAAGGGTCGGAGGGAGGGTGACGGAGGTCGGAGGGAAGGAGGGAGGGTGACGGAGGTCGGAGGGTGAAGAGGGAGGATGATTGTTAATATTGAAACAGGTTTTTATCCGGACAGACAGCTACAGATACAGTGAACAATATCATGGACCTGACTGAGCCAAGTGAGAGCCTGAGCCATGTTAGTGGCGCCTGAATATACTGCACTGTACATTTATCTCGGGGGAATTATTATAGAAACTTTTAGTATCATCTGGACTACCACGTGTATTAGTGTTACCACGTTTATCACGGTATTTTTATTTTTGTTTCGTGATTTTTGTTTTGTTGTTTAGTATATAGTATAGTGTAGTTGGAACACAGTAATCTGATAGTCGGTATTATGTCGTGATAGTAAAAATATATAAAATATGATCTAGTAGTTTCTAATGGTACAGTAAAGTAAAAAAGTATAATAATTATTCAGTAAAATTATCTTATAGGCCTATAATTGGATCAACATGAATATAAACTATAACGAATATAGACAATGTAAGTATACGGTGCACGTAGACCATGCGAGGAGATAATTTTCCCTTGTGCCTAGAGAGTGTACGTCTACAAGAAATGTATAATTACATTAGTACAGTACCACGTTGGAAATATTGCTTCTCCAATCATTAAACACTGGGTCTGGTTAGTACTTGGATGGGTGACCGCGTGGTCCTAACTCCACCAGATGCTGCGGGTCATAAGGCCTCTGCTGGAAACAGGCGGCCTCCCACCTCATGGCCTTGTCAGCTGTCCTTGATCACAGAATTACTCTTGACACTAAGGCAAGTTGTCAGTGCTTAATTCTTGTGATTAACTGATTTATAAACAAATATTGATAGCACAGCAGTAAGTATTATTATCATTAAATTTTAACTTGTTCAATTTAGTGAACTGTTGGTTTGTGTGGGTCTGTTGTGGTTTGGTTTTAGGGGCGCCGGACGGAAGGAGGCTAGGGGGGTAGAGGGGGGCGGCGAGGGGGTAGAGGGAGGGAGGCGAGAGGGTAGAGGGGAGGGAAGGTGTTTAGAGGGAGTTTAAGGAGGGGGAGGGAGCTCATGTGTGAGGATTAGGCATTCTCATGTGAAACGGATGGTGGCGTGTGGTGACGGTGGCGTGTGGTGACGGTGGCGTGGTGATGGTGGCGTGTGGTGATGGTGGCGTGGTGATGGTGGCGTGTGTGTGTGTGGTGATGGTGTCGTGTGTGTGTGATGGTGGTGACGGTGGTGTGGTGATGGTGGTGTGGTGGTGTGTGGTGATGGTTGTGTGTGTGGTGATGGTGGTGTGTGGTGACGGTGGTGTGTGTGGTGATGGTGGCGTGTGTGTGTGTGTGTGGTGATGGTGGTGTGGTGACGTGTGTGTGTGTGTGTGGTGATGGTGGTGTGTGGTGATGTGGTGTGTGGTGTGGTGACGGTGGTGTGTGGTGTGGTGGTGTGTGTGTGTGTGGTGTGGTGTGTGGTGTGTGTGTGTGTGTGTGTGGTGATGGTGGGTGTGTGTGTGATGGTGTGTGTGTGTGGTGATGGTGGCGTGTGTGTGTGGTGATGTGTGTGTGTGGTGTGTGGTGTGGTGGTGTGTGTGGTGTGTGGTGGTGTGTGTGTGTGTGTGATGGTGTGTGTGTGTGGTGTGGTGTGTGTGGTGGTGTGTGTGGTGTGGTGGTGTGTGTGTGACGGTGGCCGTGTGGTGACGGTGGTGTGTGGTGATGGTGGTGTGTGTGTGTGGTGGCGTGTGGTGTGTGGTGATGGTGGTGTGGTGTGGTGGTGTGTGTGTGTGTGTGGTGTGGTGTGTGTGTGTGGTGGCGGTGGTGTGTGGTGATGGTGGCGTGTGTGTGTGTGGTGATGGTGGTGTATGGTGGTGTGTGGTGACGGTGGTGTGTGTGTGTGTGGTGTGATGTGGTGATGTTGGCGTGTGTGTGTGTGGTGATGGTGGTGTATGGTGGTGTGTGGTGATGGTGGTGTGTGTGTGGTGGCGGTGGTGTGTGGTGATGGTGGCGTGTGTGTGGTGATAGTGGTGTGTGGTGATGGTGGTGTGTGTGTGGTGATAAGAACATAAGAAAATAGGGAGTCTGCAATAGGCCGGTTGGCCTGTGCATGGCAGCTCCTGTCGAGTTACTACCACTCTCTATCATCCATGAATCTATCTAGCCTCCTTTTGAAACTTTCCAGAGTTCCCGCACTTACTACAAAGTTGCTAAGCTTGTTCCACTCGTCCACCACCCTATTTGTGAACCAGTTTCTTCCTATCTCCCTCCTAAACTTATCCAACTTGAATCCGTTGCTCCGAGTCCTATCCTGCTCGGATATGATAAGAACTTTATCTGTATCCCCTTTATTGATTCCTTTCACCCACTTAAATACTTCTATCATATCTCCCCGCACTCTTCGCCTTTCTAGGGAATGCAATTTAAGATTCTTTAACCTATCCTGATATGGAAGGTTTCTAAGTCCCGGAATCATTTTTCGTCATTCTTCGCTGCACCGACTCTAGTGAATTGATATCCATTCTATAATAAGGGCACCAAAACTGAACCGCATAATCGAGGTGCGACCTGACTAGCGCAAGATATAGTTGCAATAAGACCTCTGCACTCTTATTACTTACACTTCTAGATATAAAACCCAATACTCTGTTTGCCTTATTTCGAACATTAACACACTGTTTTCTTGGCCGTAAGTCCGGGCTTACAAGTACTTCTAGGTCTCTTTCACAAGTCGACTTCTCTAGGTTGATATTGTTAAGGCTGTATACATTGACCGTATTTGTTCTTCCAATATTAAGTACGCTGCACTTGCTGGTGTTGAATTTCATTTGCCATTTTTCAGACCACCCCTGCAGTTTATTTAGATCCTCCTGTAATGCATTTGCATCGTGCCCTGAATTAATCTGCCTCCCTATTTTGGTGTCTTCCGCAAACTTAGCTTATGTCACTGCTGATCCCAGTATCTAGATCGTTTATGTAGATTATGAACAAGAGTGGGCCTAGTACTGACTACTGGGGAACCCCACTGGTTACACGACCCCACTCAGATTTAACACCATTTACGCTGACCCTCTGCGTTCTATCGGTGAGCCATGATTTTATCCAATACACAGTGTGCTTGGGTCTATCTCTAAGGTTCTATTTTTTGACAGTCTAAGACGTAGTGTTGGAGTGTGTGGCCATATATCTGGCCACACACTTTACATTTAGTTTTGTGCACATCTGCTTGAGGGACATGCTGCCAGAGGTACTTACAGTATATCCTAATCTTAGTCTAGCGGTTACAGCAAATTGTAATCTAGTGATCTTGTTACTTGCTCCATATACACGTGTTATTTGATACATCTCATGGTAAACAATGAATTGGCTAGTGCCCGTCTGCACTTATCTACTGGCTTCAAATTCATCAGCAAGTTTCACCAGTTTCATGACTCCTATATTTTTGCAGTTTCTTAGAAACAATGTTATCTGGATCACCACGCAAAAGCCTCAGGGCTATCATGAAGTTGACTTCAATTATTCTATCTTTGACACTGGGCATACCTTGTTCTTCCTTCATATTAAGTACAGTACTTTAGTGCTCACGGGACAGCCTAAAATAATTCTGAGGGTTTTATTTTGCTTTTTTTTTTCGAGCTTGCCAATTCCTTTCCCGAAACGAAGGACCTGGACTGGTGCGTGGTAATCTATGAGATCTTGTATAGCCTAGGTCATTGTTTTAACAATTCTAATATTAGCATCATAGTGCGGGCTGTACCCCGCTACATTTGTAAGAGGTTTCAGTCTGTTAGTACATTTGTCGGGATAGTTGTTGTATGGCAGGTAAGGTACAAGGAACGGAGACAGATTAAAAGACATAGACAATAGAGTTGTTACCTATCTTAAGCTCTGGTGGTCCACGTTTGCGGTTACCAGCTTGTTTGTTGAACACTTTAGTTTTCTCATGGTGAGAGACCAAAGTTTTCACTGGCTAACTGTACATGGTTTATGGGGGTTTGCATTTCACAATGAGTTGTAGTGGTGTGTGGTGATGGTGTGTGGTGGTGACGACGGTGTGGCGGTAGGGTGTGATGGTGGTTGGTGGTGGTGTGTGATGGTGTGGTGGTGATGGGGTGTGGTGGTGGTGTGTGGTGTTGATGGGATGTGGTGTTGATGGTGTGGTGGTGACGACGGTGTGGCGGTAGGGTGTGATGGTGGTTGGTGGTGGTGTATGCTGGTGATGGGGTGTGGTGGTGATGGTGTGGTGGTGATGGGGTGGTGGTGGTGGTAATAGCGTATGCTGTGTAGTGGTGATGGGATGTGATGGTGGTGGTGACGACGGTGTGATGGTGGTGACGACGGTGTGGTGGTGTGTGTGATGGTGTGGTGGTGATGGGTGTGGTGGTGGTGTGTGGTGTTGATGGGGTGTGGTGTTGATGGGATGTGGTGTTGATGGTGTGGTGGTGATGGGGTGTGGTGGTGTGTGGTGTTGATGGGGTGTGGTGATGGTAATAGCGTATGCTGTGTAGTGGTGATGGGGTGTGGTGTTGATGGGATGTGGTGTTGATGGTGTGTGGTGTTGATGGGGTGTTGGTGATGGGGTGTGGTGGTGGTGGTGGTAATAGGGTATGGTGATTATGGTGATTATGGTGTATGGTGGTGGTGGTAGTACAGGTCTGATAAGTGAGTGGAAACGATAAAGACATGGGTTAGGTTAGGGTGAAACAAATGTTTAGATGCAGCCAGTGGTGAGGGAGAATGATGTTGGTGCATGTATGGTGTTGTGGTGATGAAGAGGAAGGGAAGGCGGTAGTGGTGGTGAGGGAGGAGTGCTGAGGTAGGGGTCATAAACACCCCCCACCCCCCTCCCCTCCTTCCATAGCCTCCGGGTCATAGGGTGCTGCTGCCAACAGAAGCTCACTGTTGTGCCTATACCTTCTCTCTAACCTGCACGGGAATTGGTCGACTCAAACTTGCTTCATTCTCATTGGCTGTTGAGACTGGCGCAGTCACTTTGTCCTGGGTAGTGCCTAGACCTACCCTGAGACCTGCATGGCCATTGGTTCGCTTAAATCTTGGAGGAACGTGATTGGCTGGTCATAGGCAATAGCAGCTGGGACCCTGAGCTTAAAATGGGAGACCGGGAGGTGTTCGCCCTCAGTGTGGTCAGTGTAGGCCGTGTGGGCAGTGTAGGCGGTGTAGGCCTCGTGGGCAGTGTAGGCCGTGTAGGCCACGTGGACAGTCTGGCGACTCTGCAGCCCGGCCCGACCCAGACCCGGCCCAGCCCCAGACCCGGCCCAGCCTGCCCACCTCAAGCCCAGAGCCTGGGACCCGGCCCCCGGCCAGACCCAGCCAGACCCGGCCTGGACCCGCCTCCAGCCCTCCGGCCTGGAGCCCGGCCGGCCCTGGGCCCGGCCTGGCCCCAGCCCGGCCAACCCGGCCCAATGCCCGGTCTAACCTGGCCTAAGCCCGGCCTCCGGCCCGGCCCAGCCCGGCCATTCGGCCCGACGCGGCCTGGCCCGACGCTGCCTGACTACTTAAGTTCTGGCCCAGACTACCCCATAAGTTCTGCCCACCCCCCAGTAAATTCCCCACCCTGCAATTCCCCACCCCAGCAGCCTCACCCCTGGCACCTCCCCACCCCTGCAATTCACCCCAGTAATTCCCCACCTGCACCCTCTAATTTGTAATCTCTACCCCAGTAAATTTTCCACTCCCCCAGGAATTCTCACCTTAGCAATTCCCCACCCCCAGTAATTCCCCACTCCCAGGAAATTCCCCACTCTGAAATTCTCTCTGCAGTAACCTCTTCACTCCCCAGTAAAATCTCTACCCCCAGTAACCCTCACCCCCAGCAAAATCTCTCTACCCCAGCAAACTTTCACCCAGTAAACCTCACCCCTAGCACCTCTCCCCACCCCAGTAACTTCTCTACACCCCCCAGTAACCTCCCACCCCAGTACTTCTAACCCCCCAGTAACCTTCAATTTTGCACCTCTCCACCCCAGCACCCTCTCCCCCAGTAAATCTCTACCCCCCAGCAATTCTCTCTCACCCAAACCCCCAATCTCCCCAGTAATCTTCACCCCCTGTAAATCTCTCTCTACCCCCAGCAATCTCCCCACCCCCAGGTAACCCTCTCTCTAACCCCCAGCAACCTCTCCCCACCCCTGTAACCCCACCCAGTAACCTCTCCAACCCCCAGCAACCCCCAACCCAGTAACCCCCCACCCAACCTCCAACTCAGCAAATCTCCAACCCAGCAACCCCAGCAACTCTCCCAACCCAGCAACTCTCCACCCCAGCAACCTCCATCCCAGCAACCTCTCTACCCCCAGCAACTCTGTCCTTCCAGCAACCTCCCACCCAGCAACCTCCACTCTGAACCTCCTACCCCCCAGTACTCTCTCTCACCCCCCAGTACCTTCTACCCCCCAGTAAATTTTCCACCAGTAAGTTCTCTCACCCCAGTAAATCTCCCCACCTCAGCAATCTCTCTACCCCAGTAAATCTCTCTCACCCCAGTAAATTTCTACCCCAGCAATTCCCCACCCAGTAAATCTCTCTCACCCCCAGTAATTCTCTCTCAAACCCCCAGTAAATTCTCCCACCCCCAGCAAATTTCACCTCCAGTAATCTCTCACCCAGTAAATTCTCTTACCTCCCAGTAAATTCTCTACCCTCCAGTAAATCTCTACCTCCAGTAAATTCTCTCTGTCTCCAGTAATTCTCTCTCACCCCCAGTAAATTCTCTCTCACCTCCAGTAATCTCTCTACCTCCAGTAAATTCTCACCTCTCTCTCTCCCCAGTAAATTCTCTACCCCAGTAAATTCTCCCACCCTTAGTAAATTCTCTACCCCAGTAACCTCTACCCCAGCAATCTTCACCCCAGTAATCTCTCTACCCCAGTAAATCTCTATCCCCAGTAACACCTCTCTAACTTCTCTACCCCCAGCAAATTCTCTCTACCCCCAGTAAATTCTCTCTCACCCCCAGTAAATCTTCTACCCCAGTAAATCTTCTACCCCAGTACCCCCAAATCTCTCTCTCACCCCCAGTAAATCTCTTTCTACACTAGTAATTTCTCTACTACCAGTACCCTCTCTACTACCAGTAAATCTTCTCACCCCAGTAAATTCCTCTCTACCCCAGCAATTCTCTAACTGCAATCTCTCTACCCCCAGTAAATTCTCTCTCTCTACCCCCAGTGATTCTTTTTTCTCTTCTCCCTCTCTCTTCTCCCTCACCTCTCTCTCTTCTCCCTCTTCTCCCTCTCACCTCTCCCTTTCACTTCTCCCTCTCTCTTCTCCCTCTCTTCTTTCAGTGAACAATATCATGGACCTGACTGAGCCAAGTGAGAGCCTGAGCCATGTTAGTGGCGCCTGAATATACTGCACTGTACATTTATCTCGGGGAATTATTATAGAGACTTTAAGTATCATCTGGACTACCACGTGTATTAGTGTTACCACGTTTATCACGGTATTTTTAGTTACATTAATTAGTTAAATACTGTATATATACTGTATATAATGTACTGTACTGTATATTTATCTTACAGTATAATTATGATACAGGTACTGTATAATGTACACTAATGAAGTGGGTGAAGCTTAATTTTCTCTTTAATTTTTCATTGTTGATGTAATAGTGTTCAGTATTATTAACCTTGTTTGTGTAAGGTTAAAAGTGTGTAACTGGCAACAGTTAAACGTGTAAAACTGCAAATAACTACAGTACATATGATATTTTTTTTCTTGAATGTAGATCCCAAGTTTTGGTGCCCTCCACTTTATATTTACAATGATAAATGTGGCCCAGAGCCTCCAAAGGGTTGGGGACCACTGATGTATATTGTAATGGTTTCAAATGATAGAGTAAGAGTAAGAATTCAAAGTGTTGCAAACAAAAAATGCCTTTAGAGATGATTTAGTTTTTAGAGGAAGGTAACGTCTCTGCTGGGATGGGTGGGAAGGTTATGATCCACACCTTCACACAATATTATATAGAGGTCTGGGACTGAGAGGAGTGCGTGGGGGTGAGTGGTCATACTAGGTCTTAAGTTATGTACTATATCTGGTTTGTGTGGAACTGGAATTAATTATTCTCAGTAAGGTGATTCAAAGTACTGTTCTCACATCTGAGGGTTGGCTACCACAGTCCTCCATTCTAAAAGTTCTCAGGCTGTTTATGCCAATCCTCCTCAAATTTGGATTTAGGGACCCAGTTTTTAATTTAATTCACCCATCTGAGAGAGTGCCTTCCCTTGGCCCTCCTACCTTTAACTTTGCCCATTAATATTTAGTAACGATGTTAGTAAGCAAATAGACAAACTAAAGCCTAATAAGTCACCTGGTCCCGATGAGATATTTGCCAGAGTATTAAAGGAATGTAAGGAAGAGCTTAGTATGCCCTCAGCAAAGTTGTTTAACATGTCCTTAAAAACAGGTGTAGTACCAGAATCCTGGAGGATAGCAAATGTAATACCGATTTTCAAGAAGGGGGATAGATCACTATCCTCTAACTACCGCCCAATCAGTCTAACATCAATAGTAGGCAAATTACTGGAAGCAATCATTTCAAACTATTCGAAATCACCTGGAGAAGCACCGATTGATCAATGATTCCCAGCATGGCTTCACAAGCGGATGTTCTTGCCTAACTAATCTATTAACATTCTTTTCATCAGTTTTCGAATCAGTGGACGAGGGGCACAATTATGATGTGGTATATCTCGACTTTAGCAAAGCCTTCGACAGAGTCCCCACGAAAGACTAATTAGAAAGGTAGAAGCTCATGGCATCAAAGGTGACATCCTTAAATGGATTAGGGCGTGGTTACAGGACAGGAAACAGCGAGTGAGCATTAACGGCACTAAGTCCCATTGGAGCAACGTCACAAGTGGAGTTCCCCAAGGCTCAGTACTTGGACCATTATTATTTATTATATACATAAACGACATAGATATCGGCATAGACAGCAACATAAGTAAATTTGCTGATGACACTAAAATAGGACGTGTTATTAAATCTGACGAGGACTCCACAAAACTACAGGAAGATCTAAACAAATTTTTCGAATGGTCTGACAAATGGCAGATGAAATTCAACGGACAAATGTAAAGTACTCAGTATAGGAGATGTAAACAGGGAAACCAGATACCAGATGAACAACGATGCCATAGAGAGATCCGACTGCAGAGAGATTTAGGAGTAATGATAAGTAGGAACCTTAAGCCAAGTAAACAATGTGTTTTTGCTCGTAACAAGGCTAATAAAGTACTTGGGTTCATACAAAGGAGTGTTAGTTACAAGACTAGCGAGGTCATCCTAAAACTGTATCTTGCTCTTGTGAGACCACACCTGGATTACACAGTTCAGTTCTGGTCACCGTATTACAGAATGGATATAGAATCCTTGGAAAGAATTCAGAGGAGAATGACAAGACTAATCCCGGGCATTAGGAACCTTGAGTATAGAGACAGGTTAAAGCATCTTAATTTGCACTCCCTTGAGAGACGTAGAGCGAGGGGCGACCTGATAGAGGTGTATAAGTGGAAGGCAGGGCTAAACAAAGGGGACATTACAAAGGTACTCAAACTATCCAACCAGGAGCGAACTCGTAACAATGGTTTTAAATTAGACAAATTTAGATTTAGGCGTGAAATAGGTAAACACTGGTTTGGAAACAGAGTAGTGGATGAATGGAACAAGTTACCAAATATCATCATTAACTCGAATACGCTGAATTGCTTCAAACATAGGTTGGATGCTCATATGAGCAATAGGGGTTGGGTGTAAACGGGACTGCCCAGTATGGGCCAGTAGGCCCGCTGCAGTTTCCTCCATTCTTATGTTCTTATGTTCTTATTTCTGCTTGTATTTCTTTGTCTGTAATTATATGACCAAAGTATTTCATTTCCCGTTTTCTGTAAATTTCAGGTATTTCTCTTGAAGTAGTTGTCAATTTTAGTACAATACTTTCATTTATTTTCCTGTTAGTCTAACTTATTATTAACATTCTCTTGTAACACATAACTGTATTTCAAAGGCCTCTTAACCTCTTTTTGATGTCTGCTGAAAGTGTCCATGCTTTTGACCCATACAACAGTCCTGACTATGCATAACATTTCAGTAGCATTTTGCTCATCCTTTTTATTTGGCCTTTTAGATTATTACATGATTATTTTGCTTGACCTATTATTGTTTTTCATTCACAAATACTGTACACTGTACACACAATTTTTCATGTTTAAGTTCCCTGTTCCCTACCATAATTTTAAGTTAGGATTTACTTCCAATTTGGAAATAATCATTATTTTTGTCTTCACAGCAGTAGCAATTAACCTACATACTTCACCTATTTTCATCAATCTGTGAACTGGTTTTTGTAATGCTTCTTCACTATCTATGATAAGAACAGCATCTGCTGCATATATATAAGAATATAAGAATGGAGGAAACTGCAGTGGGCCTATTGGCCCATACTGGGCAGTCCCATTTACACCCAACCGCTATTGCTCATATATCCATCCAACCAATGTTTGAAGCTGTCCAGCGTATTCGAGTTAATGATGATGTTTGGTAACTTGTTCCACTCATCCACTACTCTATTTCCAAACCAATGTTTACCTATTTTGCACCTAAATCTAAATTTGTCTAATTTAAAACCATTGTTACGGGTTTGCTCCTGGTTGTATAGTTTGAGTACCTTTGTTATGTCCCCTGTGGTTCAGC